AATGCTGTCAAGTAGCAGCCAAAGTTAGATATACTAACTTGGTTGCCATCGTCATAGTGCTAAGAGATACTAAATTGTTGGGGACAGATATTAAAGGAAGGACACTAGGACAAGAATTTATGAATAAATACACAGATTATGCTGTAAAAATAGAATATTTATTTATCCATCCTTTACTCAGCTAATTCCTATACAGTATCTTGTAATTAGTGAAGCCCTTGCAAAAAGCTTTTTAAGGATATATTTCAAACAGAATGCAAAAGGTACAGTGGAAAAGTATGCTGTTTTCTCTATTGCGTCCTCTCAGCAGTCATTGCTCAGTTCCTTGTGACTACTTTGGTGGGGGTGGGATTCTAAGCCTGTAGTACTATAATGTGGATATATTTCAGTGTATGAGAAATAATTTGTCTATACCTTATAGTCTGATGGTCATAATTCAGTCATTGTACCCTGATAGTAGAGCATATTTGGCTTTCATCCTTTTTACAGACTCATAAAATGTTAGTTCATAAAGCTAATGAATAGTACTTTATGCTTTCAAAAATCTTTTTCAGGTTGGTACCCGGAGATATATGGCCCCGGAGGTTTTAGAAGGTGCTATAAACTTCCAAAGGGATGCATTTTTGAGGATAGATATGTACGCCATGGGATTAGTCCTGTGGGAGCTGGCTTCTCGATGTACTGCTGCGGACGGTAAGGAAAAAATACTTATTAAATAGCATATATGCCACATTTATTAAGAGAGATTATACTGAATGGTAATAAAGTGCAGTTCCTTTTTAATATACATTACGAGGTGGTAGTAAATTTGGAAGAGGCTGGGGAGCACAGAGCGTGGGACAGGAGGGGTAAGGAAGGGCCTCCACTTGGTTATATCTGGTCCTCAGGTCAGCTCTTTTGGTAAGAGGAGCTGTGTGAAAAGTAGGATGGATTTTGCCTTCCAAGACAGTCAGGCTGAGATGTGCAGCCTTGGGGTAGTGCCAACATGCATGCAAGTAGCCAGATTAGACACGCAACTCTGAATACATATTTCAGTGTGTTGTAGATTAAATTCAGCCTCCCCAAAGCAATGTTTCACCTTCCTAAATGTTACTGTACTAGTTACTTTCTCTGCCACCTTCCCTTGGTTCTAAAGGGTTTGTGTTGATCCAAGTTTTTGCCATGTGTCCCTTTCACTTATTGATTATAAACCTGCATACTCTATTCCTAGTATGACAGTCTGTAGTGTTACAGGTACCTTGTCTTTTACATTCCTTCATGTGGTCTCGCTCTCCATATGTGTTGCAGCATCTTTTTTAGGTAAGGCAAACTACCTTACTGCTAATCTCCTGAACAACTGTAAATGAGCTTGATCTAGGTTTTTATTTTTTTTTTTTAAATTTCAATTTGTAACTGCCTAAAACTTCGTCTGATTGTCAAAGAGCATAGAAGAAATTATGTTGACTATTAAAAGATACAGCTAACGTATCTTAAAGGGAACTTAGCTCAGTCTTCAGAAATGGACAGCTATTTATTCTTCCAGGATTGGAGATTTGGCTCGGAAGTGGATTCAGAACCTAAGAAAGCTTATAGAAATTTGGGAATAATTGAAGCTCAGTAAGCTGTTTGAAAGGGAAGATATATTACATTGATTATGTGCATTTTTGAAACAGAAGTAGGTTAGATGGCAGATATAGGAAGATACATTTCATCACTTTAATATGAATTCTCCATAGAAAAGCATTGGATTAGGTTCTACAGGGACACAAGGCCCTGTTCTCAAATGATAAAACAGTTAAGGCAATGAAGTATATAATGGAAAGAATGACATGTGAATTATCTAGTCTAGTACCTGGTATGTAGACATTCATCGTATGTTTTTGGATGTAGTAGTACCTGAGCTATAAAGGAATGTTATGGGAGTTTATAGATTTATTTATTTTTGTATTTTGTGCTGGAACTTTTAGTGATCTTCCTGTTTTCAACCTCCCTGGTGCTCGGATTACTGGTGTTTATGACCACACCCAGTCTCAGTTGCTGGCTCAGCACCCTTAAGAGACAGGGCCAGCATGGTGTATGGTGCTGGGAATTGAACTCTGGCCCCTGCGCTTGCCAAAGCAGGCGCTTAGTCTACTGAGCTCTCTCTCTGGCCCTGAAAAAAAGTTTTTGAAGTGGTGGAGGGATTATTAGGGAAGTTTTTATGGAAAAATAAAAGGATAGGATGCTGCCTTGTCTTAAATGCTTTGTATGTGCTGTGAAACAGTTTTTTCTTGTAAGTCAGAAATTGGAGACCAAAGGGTCAGTGTGAACGACACTGTTAAAGTAGGTACTTTTAAATTTGTTGGTGGTTATAGTTAACTTGTCATTTTCAAACTAATGTGCATATTAAACCTTAGGAAATTTTGTTAAATCAAAATTCTGACTCAGTAGTGTGGGCTGATACCCGAAAATCCACATTTTGTTTTTGTAAGCTACCACTACTTGATGCTAGCACAAGAGCAGGCACCTTAGAGTGTCAGTGCTCTCAGAGACTATTCAACCATCAAGCTCCTTAAGTTTACAAAGAGTTAATTACATCTCCTGATTTATTATCCAGGCGTACTTGATGCATTTCATGGCCTTACAAGAGTCTTAGGTCTGTGTACACAGCACCTTTGATCAATGAAATTGCTCACTAGTGATCCGTTTTTGTTAAGGTGAAAGCATAGATTTGATGGATTCAAAACTGTGTACATGCTGTTTTGCAAAATTCTGTAACTTTCTGAGTTTCATGCTGTCTTCCTATTGTAAAGAGGAATACACGTCAAATTCCTGTTCAAGATAGGTGCTCATCGATTACTAGTTATTATAACTCCTACACACATTTTTCTACTTAAGTATAAGAAAAAAGGAAGGATTTATGTTGTTGAATAATTTTACCTGTGAAGGACATTCTGACTTGTTGAAAACCCTGGTGAAGAGTATGTTTGTGATTTTTGAAAATAAGCAAGTGTACTCTTAGTAGTTTTTGTGAGAGGCCAAGAAGTACGACTGATTTCTTACATGGGACATGTGGGAGGTTTCAGTATGCCATAGAATGAAGATGGTTGCAGTAGACTGAACCCAGTCTTCATAGGTAGAAACAGCACCACTGACTTCCTTATTGGAATCACAAGGTAGTGTCAAAGAGGAATATTATATACTTGATTTTCAATTTCTGATTGTTCCTCTGTCCAATATTCACAGGGATATGAACAGTCCACATAAAGTAGGTAAGAAAGCTCCTCAACAGTGTTAATATTACCTGCCAAATCATAAACCTTTGAATTTCTGATGATTCTATTACACTGCAGTGTAGGTGTAACTAATAGTGTCTCTTTTGTGTCATCACAGCATACAGAGTTGGAAAAAGGAAAAATGGTATATTCTAGAAAGTTTAGACCAGTTTGGAAGTCAGAAAGATTTTAATTGAAATGACTTTTTTCCTTTCTTACATTTCAGGACCGGTAGATGAGTACATGTTGCCATTTGAAGAGGAGATTGGCCAGCATCCATCTCTTGAAGACATGCAGGAAGTTGTTGTGCATAAAAAAAAGAGGCCTGTTTTAAGAGATTATTGGCAGAAACATGCTGTAAGTTCTACAGTTAGCTTTTCGTTTGCAATTCCAATAAAACATTTTTTAGAGGAATCAATCATTCTCTGCACACTTAAGATGATCTTCGCACAGGTATTCTGTACAAGTGCTAGAGGCAGAAGAATTAGGGCTTCACAGCAGGGAGAGCGAAGTCAAGGCTGTCCCCTCAGTGGTCCTGTGCAGATGGGTGTCTGCCTTGGAAAGCTTTCTATGGAAAGCAGTGCCTGGTGCAGAGGCTGTGCATAGCTGTGTCGCCTGGTGGATCACCATCTTACAATGTGATTCCATTTTTAAACTTACTAAGCAACAAATTTTCTCTTCAGAGGAATTTCTTTTATCTTAATTCTGGCATAAATTATTATGAATAAATGAAATTACTATGAATTCTTAAGATTAGAGGTAGGGAGAGGATAGAGTATTGTCATGTAGTTTTGGTCTAAGTATAACTAGAAACATGGATAAAATCAGGTAGAGAATCCTGAAGGATGGTCTTCAATCCTATATTTGGTTGTTAGATAAAAATGGTGATATTAAGTAAAACTGAAAAACAGTGGTATACTTTGTTTGCATCAGTGTTGGTTTTGAGTCCAGTTCTAGGTTTGTATTGATTGAGAGGATAGTTTATGAATGGTTAGGCATTTTTAGGAAAAATTCTGTTGCAAGTCTTCAGCGCATTAAGGAAAACTACCTTTGGTGCTTTTCTTCATGGTCTTACATGATACTCAAGAGTGAATATTGAGAGATAGCATGAAAATTTGCTAATCTCGAAACTTCTTTGTCCACAAAACTTGCTAGGGTGTTTGACTCGTTTTTCTCCTCCTAGGGAATGGCAATGCTCTGTGAAACGATAGAAGAGTGTTGGGATCACGATGCGGAAGCCAGGTTATCAGCTGGATGTGTAGGTGAAAGAATTACCCAGATGCAAAGACTAACAAATATCATTACCACAGAGGACATTGTAACAGTGGTCACTATGGTGACAAATGTTGACTTTCCTCCCAAAGAATCTAGTCTATGATGGTTGCACCATTTGTACACACTGAGAAATGGGACTCTGAACTGGAGCTGCTAAGCTAAGGGAACTGCTTACAGTTTATTTTTGGTGTGAAATGAGTAGGAGGCCTCCTGGAGATGAAAGCAAGCAGCCCCTTGTGGAAAAGTGTGGCACGGGGAGACTCACTGCATTGCCTGCAGCACAGATGTGAAGGACTCGAGGCTAAGAGAAAAGCGGCAGACTCTATAACAAAAACTTTTGAAAAAAATGTACATGAAGAATGTGGCCCTCTCCAAATCAAGGATCTTTTGGACCTGGCTAATCAAGTGTTGGAAAGCTGACATCAGATTTCATAATGTCTGTCAGAAGACACTAATTCCTTAAATGAACTACTGCTATGTTGTTTTTTTTAAATCAAAAACTTTTCATTTCAGATTTTAAAAGGGTAACTTGTTTTTATTGCATTTGCTGTTGTTGTTTCTATAAATTACTATTGTAATGCCAATATGACACAGCTTGTGAATGTTTAGTGTGCTGCTGTTCTGTGTACATAGAGTCATCAAGTAAGGGGTACAGTAAAGAGGCTTCCAAGCATTACTTTAACCTCCCTTTCAACAAGGTATACCTCAGTTCCACGGTTGCTAAATTATGAAATTGAAAACACTAACAAATTTGAATAAATTGATCCATGTTTTGTAACAAGGTATTACAAATTCACTGTGTTATTTAAGAAAAAATGGTGAACTATGCTTAGTGCCAATAGTAAGTGACCATTCGTAAAGCAGTGTTTTAGCTTTTCTTGTGCTGGCTTGTAATTTAAGGAGAAAATGCTGGTTTTATTATTTTTTTAATGAAAAACAAGTGGTATATTTCCCCATTACTTACATGTTTCTAAAGCTTCATCTTATCTGGGTCCCAAAATACTGCATACTTCTTTCTTTTTAGGTGTGCTGTGTTTAGGGAATATTTAAAATACTAAAGCATGACTTCAGTTTGGTTTTTTTTTTAAGTGAGCTATGACACTGGAAAGCTCTTCATTTTATCTTTTTAAACCTTTTTCCTATTTATATATGTAAAATTTTAGTATATTTTTTCACCAGTGTGTGGAACATTCTTTATCACTGTTTTAGGATCACCTCAGGAAGTGTCATTACGCAGAACTCCTCACTGTTTTGAGATTTGTAATTTCATCACTTATGTTTGGTGCCATCTTGTGAGAGTAGTATTTGATGTCTGGGATTTGTAAAGAATTATTTTAGGATAGTGATTATTAATCTTTAAGCACAGATTAAGATGTTACTGCTTTAAAACAAATCAGGGATAACAAGTTAAAGTTTTAATTTAAAATATGCAATGACATTTAGAGGTAACCAGTGTTGATACAGGTAACAACCTTGTTTCTTCCCCAAAATTGCTTTCACAACTAACTTTGATATTAATTTAGGATAGTTCATGCCTTATCCTTGCTAAGGAAATGGAATTGATGGTGGGTGCCAAAGTGCTTTTTAAAACATTGCATTAGAATATAATTGGATTCTTCCTCAAATTTGTACAGGCCAAAGTACAGGGGAACATTAATTTCCTGGATTTCTAGATTACTCACTGATCAATAGCTAGTATTATACTTTGTACTTCTTTTCAGGTCATTTTAAAATCTGTGCATTTTGTAATCAGATTTTTTACATGTCACTATCAATAGCTCACTGCGAATGTGTTGTATTCAAATGGTTATTTACACACTACACTACACTTTACAATATAGTATGTACTTAAATCTTTGGGAAGAAGTGTTATTTATAAACAATACATAGGTCATCAGACTCCAAGCAGGGAGGTGAATGACAGTAAATAGCATTTTTGTCTGTGTGCCGCATACCATACACAACTGTTTGTGCTCTTGGTCATGTGCGTATCCATGGTCTTGCATTCCTAAGAATTTCCATTTCAGTGTTTAGCACTTTTATTTCAAAAAGTACTGTTTCTCTATTTTTTGATTTAGTGTTGCTTACATTTGGAAACTAATCCAGGGCAAAACACAGAATGTGTATAGAGGAAAATTGTTAATCTCCAACAGACAAATTTCTGCCTGTCATAAACACTTAACCCTCATTAAAGTTAAAAAAATTGAAAGAAAAATAAATGAGGGATATTATGAATGTTTGGCTTATGAGAGCACTAGAGATAAATTTTTCTAAGACCAGTTATTTACAGTATAAAATGTTTTGTCTTCATGTTAGGAAACATTTTTAGAAATTCGGGGTGTTGTACTTAACTCTAGCTAACCAGTTTTAAACTTGTATCCTTTTGAGAACTTCATTAATAGAGAAATCTTTTATAAGCAGTAAAATAAGAATGTTCCAGTGACTACCTGTTCTGATACCTAGTCTTGTTAAATCTTTTCTTTTGCAGGGCATTTTAGTATTTGGTTTACAGTCCATGCAGAGTGGGCAAGTTAGCCCAGAGTGTGAGCTAGGGATACTGAAGATCAATGAATTGAGCAAGATTAGGATTTCTGTTCTGGGGAAACAGACCCAGTGACTTTTCCTCATGTATGGTGCTCCTCATGACTTGTCTTGTACTTTGCCTTTCTGATACCATCAGAACTGCTGCTCTTATATTTTCTACCTTGCCCAAATCTCCCATGTTAAAAATGCTTTATGATCAACTGCCATAGGACTGATGGATTAACTAGTGTTTGGCTTTATTCAAAGTCCATGCCCTGCACAGATCTTATATGTATTTTAGATGCTAGGAAGTTTTTAGCATGTGATGTGTGATTCTTGTTTGAATGTTTATTACAGGTACCTTGTGAATTCCAGAAGAGACTGTGCCTCACAATTGTTAGTCCCATGAACTTGTAGTATCTTTCATGGCGATATTTTGAAAATACAATCAGGAAAAAAACCTAACTTCCTTGGGATTTAAGAATAGAATCATCACAAAGTTTTTAAAGTCTCTTCCACCCCCTCTTCACTTCTGAGTAAGTTACATTTACCTAAAATGCAGGTGGTTGAGAAAAACCACTGGCCAGATGGTAGTTTAGTGGAATAAACTGATTACTATTTTTTTAAAAAAGAAAGCTTCATCACAAATATTTTCCAGTTTCTCTTTTTTACTTTTTTGAAAAATTACTTTTTAGGAACATTTGGTATAATGTGCATAAAATTATTTACAACTTATGGGCAAAATGATACAAGTAGCATCTTGATTGAACATCATTTACCTCAGATACTCAACCAGCAGTATGTTTTTTATGCAGTCTCAACCCATATCCTATTTGTTACCTCTCAAGGTATTGGTGAGCAGTTATTTTAGCTTTACTCTGTATTTCCTGTCAGTCTTTTGGGCACAGATTGTTGTACTACTGTCAAATCGTACTTGCTATTTTTTTTCTGCAAGTATTTAACAGCTAAAAAAAACAAAACCACCCCAGAGACCCCCCCACCTTGGATAAGTGATTGTTAAATATTGTATAAACAAAATGTATGCTATCCCCATTCCATCCCAAGTTAAATAAAAAATGAATATGGTATAATTTGCATACGCAGTTTTTTTTTTAAGTGTATATTCTTCAGGGAATGGCAGCTTTGTAATTTGTGAGGCTTCCATCTTGAGATTTCCAAGAATGGGGATAGTGGCGAAAGAAGGGAGGTTTCTTCCTTATGACATTTCTTCCCTTTGCTGTCTGAGCAGAATCGTCACCCAGGGATATGTAGGTCCTGCCAGTATTAGGAGGCCAGAGGCTTGTTGGTACTGGGTCACACTTCATGCCAGTGGGTTCTCAGGCTTTTCAGGACTGTGACAAAGGTGAAGGAAAGGGTAGCACTTAGCAAACCTTAGTGCAATAAGCGTGGAATCTGTACTGAAAGACTGCTTTTCTACAGCCTGTTCCTCAAAATACTGATTCTATTAGCATTATGATACAGCTTCACTTTCAACAACACACTTTAATTTCTCAGCCATGTGTGTGCATGCCAACTAGACAGGTCTTTTCAGAAAGATTCCAATTTTTGTTGGGCCATTTGGAAGGAACTCAGGTAAAAAAAAGATAGCACTGCTGACTTCATTTGCTTTCAGTCTGATAACCTAGGGAAGCATACAGATTTTTGTTTTTGGTTGTATGTTCTTGAATAGCAAATGAAGATAAGTATTTTTAAGCTGTATACACAACTTTTCAGGTTTTAAGAGTTTTATTAATATAGTTTATGTAATTTATATGATGAAGTTAAAAAATTTTGTGGATGTATTTTAGCTTCTCTATATTTGGGAACTTAATTCCCACTTCACTGCCCCCCCCCCAAAATGCCTTTCCACACAGGCATACACTTTATTATATTATTTTTGTTAACCTATTTTGTCTGTTGTATCACTTTCCTACTATAATCCCAAAAAAAGATAACCCAGTTTGCCAACTTAAGTTTTTTAATATTTATATCTACTTGATGGATGGTCTATAGTTCTTATGTAGTCATGGAAATGTATTTTAGGACTTAGTTTTTAAGTGGCATCTTAACATGGTAGCATCACTTATCACTACTACTAGGAGGAAGAATTTTAACATTTCGGCTAGTTTTTTTAAAAACAATTTCTGAATTATGTTAGTAAAGTAAGTATGGTCCACTTTAAAGAGTAAGAAACTAATGAAATGACTTTTGCCTTATAAATCAGGTGAACTATTTTGACAAAAGAGCCTGTACATTTAAATACGGACACTAGGATTTAGAACCAAGATATAAGCCCTATCCTCAATGAGATGCTGGATGGTGATCTGAAGACTTAGAACAAGGATTCATTTTTTGTGGGGAAGGAAAGGCCAGATATGCAAAATAGGTTGTTGCTACTGAAGTGCTACATTCATACACCACTGTATTTCTGTAATTTCTTAAAAGCTAGATCAACTCTTCACAGTAGAAGTACTTGGCAAGGGCAATGTTACACTTAAGTTCTTAATAGCATGGGCTTACTATCAGTTAAAACTTGAGCGGAGGGCTGAGGATGTAGCTTAGTGTAGAACACTCACCCATATGTACGAGTCCCAAGGTTCAATTCCCAGCACCCCAAAAACAAAAAATCCAAAACTGAGTTGAATTCCAGGGCCAGTCATTCTAAATCTGTGATTCTGGACACTGGCACTACTGTGTTAGTTTTCTAAGCTTTAAATAACACTGCATTAGCCACATGGAGCTTCTGACACAAGTGGATTGTATATTACAAAAGGACAGGGACTCTGTCTTTTCTAAACATCCTAGGATACAATAGGCAGCAAGTACTCCTGAGCTGTCAATGAGTGAAGATTAAATTTCATTTTAAACATATAGCTGTGGGAAAAAAAAAAAAAAAAAAAAAAAAACCCACATAGTTATGTCTGTAGATCCTTCAATTTTTAGGGTGATGTTTTGACTGACATTTTTGTATTCCTGACAGGGACTTATTTTCTGATATAAATACTCAGTAGACACTGCAAACACATTATTTATGGGAGTTGTTTTCCAGGAATTTCTTAAAGTACCTGTTAAGGCAGATTTTGATCTCTTTGGACCAAAACAGGCTCACCCATTTTGATAAGTATAGAAATGTTCTGACTCCTTGGCCTTTTCTCCCATGTGACACATCTTCCTGTCTAAACTGATCAGTCTCCTCCATTACAAGATACAGGATCTGGGAAAACTGAGATGTGCAAAGGAAAACAGTGAAAGCACCCCCATTAGAACTAAAAGATTACTTATCATACCTCCATTCTTACCATTGTTTCTTTACTGCTTACATTAGGATTTGTAAAAATAACTAGATGCTTGGCTGAAATGAACTCTTCAAATGGACCACATAAATAACAAATACTTAAAAAATGGTTTAATCTCTAAAATAATCACATTTCGTTCTTCCGAACTGCTATTTACAGCACAGTCTAAGTCAATGACCAAACTATAAATCACGTAACTGCTTGTGACTTAAAGGTGAGACACAGTCAGGATATACATGCAACAGTTTCTCATAAATTAAAAATAAATATAAAATAATGCAGTAACATCTTGCAAAGGAGAACAGCTTTAAGGTCTTCAGCCAATCATTTCTGAAATGTCACGAAGGAAATGGTGCTCATAGCCAGCTTAGCGAGGAGGTTGCCCACTGTCTCACATCTGTAGGGCAGTTAGGGTATTTCTGCAGAGCATTCATGATTTGCGTATTATCCAATAGTAGTTTCATCAGCTGGTACTCTCTCTGTGAATTTACTGAAGTTCTCTCCACAGGCTTTATTAATTCTAATTGTTGTAGGTGTTCAAAAGCCTGAAAGATTAAAAAAAATAGGTGCTGGCTTAGGTAAGTGCAGGGGCCAGGGTTTGATCCCTGGCACCACGTCGTGCCGGCCCTGCCCATGGGCATGCTGAGCTGGTGATAGAGTCTGGGCGTGGTAGCACATGCCTATAACCCCAGCACTGGGGAGGCAGAAATCTGGAGTATCATTACGAGTCTAAGCTGCATAGGTAGACCCTACACGCACATGAAATTGTTTAGAGTAGGATAATAAACTAACAAAATCCAGGAAATACTTGCAAGTTTTATCCTTCTGTGGAAAATACTGCCAGCAAAACAAAAGGAATCAAAATCAATAATGTTAAAAAAAAGACTCTCATCAACCACATAAAGAGCAATATTAATTATCAGGTAAAAGGATATAAATTCATGATCTCTGATCCTGTGCTGGTGAATGTAAACAAGAGAAATTTTAATTCAGTCTTCATAGTATGGTTTTGTTTCTGACCTCATATTCTAGTTCCTTCCTTATGTATGTGTGTGATGGAGTGCTAGAGTGCAGTCTGGACAACAATTCCAGAGCTAACCACCTGTTTGGATACTAAGCTAACAAGCCTTTTCTTGTATAGTAAACCACAGATTCCTAGTTTTCCTCTATGAACCCAAGAACTCTGTAAGACTTCTCTTTACTTTGGCTATCCAAATTTGTTTTCAATCTTTTTTTCTTTTTAAATTTATGTATTTGACACAGGGTCTCGCCATGTAGCTGGACTTGTAGTGATCCTCCTGTTTCATTCTCCCACTGCTGGGATTACCACATCTAGTTTCAGTGACACCCAGGGCAGGGTCAGCATGGCCTGTGGTATGAGGATCAAACCCTGGTCCTTGCACTTGCCAGGCAGGCACATAGACTGCTGAGCTATCTCCTCTGCCCAGGCTATCCAAATTTATATTTTGTTTCTACCCTTATAAGACTTTGCTGTTTAGAAGTTTAACACAGTGGTATCAAAGTGGCAGGAAAGACCCTGAGCACACTAAGCCTCATCAGAACTTGTAAGTAGATTCTACAGGGTAGTACAGACTCCCATTTTCAAGACTGACCGAGAGTGTCACAACCTGTCACCAAGCTCCCTTCTGCATTTATCTCTTTCACCTAAATGGAATGCTTCACTGCTTTCTCTTACCCCCCCCCCCAGTCATGTTATTTTCTTTCCTAGTTGTGATTGCTTAAAGTATGTTAGGGTATGAAAAAAAAATTAAATTGTATTCCCATTAAACACTAAAGTGTTACACTGCAATGGATTCTTAAGCAGTCTATTCTTAGAACTCATTGTAAAAAAATACCATTGGAATATATTCTCTATGTACTGTAAAAATTCTTACATTTTCTTTTAAAAAATGTATTTAGTAGAGTCTACAGTGTCTCACTACACAGATCAGACCCGTAGTGATCCTGTTCTAAGCCTCCCAAGCGCTGGGATCATAGGCACGCGCAACCACAGCACTCTGAGGATTGAACCCCGGTCCCTGCGTATGCCTAAGCAGGTGCTTTAATCCACTGATCTATCTGGCCAGCCCTAAGAAGAAACTATTTTTAAAAATGCGAAAATACTGGGATTAGGCAAAACCGAGATTTAAAATATTTCCAGAGAGCGAAATATTTCCTTATTTAAAATGTAGAAAATACAAGCTGCAAACTGTAAGAATTTAAATGTTTAGGTAATCTTTTTATTTCCACAACTCCCACAAACCATGACTATCAGACAGATACGGAGTTGGAGGGAGAGAGAATCCAATCTCTATTTTGTTTTTTTGTATTTTTAGGGAAGGGTCTACAGGGTATTCAGGGTCTTACTACTAGATCAGACTCATAGTGTTCCGCCTATTTACAGCCTCCCAAGAGCTGGGATTATAAGTGCATGCCACCACGTCCAGTCTCAATTGCAGTCTCAGCAAGTCCCCAGGGCAGGGCCGGCACAGCAGGCCCAGGGATTAAACCCTGAACCCTGTGCCTGCTTGCAGGCACTTTAATCCACTGAACTACTTGGCTGGCCCTCCAATCTCTATTATGCCAAATACTTTTACTATTTCTCTGAATATCATGGACACCAAACGATTGAGGAGTCCACTCGTACATAAATAACAATTACTTCTCCATAAACTCCTTTAGCGTTTCACTGTTCATACTGAGCAATCAAGCACTTGAAATGTGTGGCTTAACTTTTATTTTTTTTTTGGTTGCAGAACCGGGGATTGAACTCAGGCCCTTGCGTTTACCAGGGAAGCGCTTATTCTACTGAGCCATCTCCCTGGCCCTGGCTTAACTTTTAATTTTATTTAAACTTAAGGATATATTTAGTTCAGCTAAAATTGATGCCTAGAACAACTTTAAAAAAAAAAAAATCTACCTTTTCAGCTACAGGAGTAATGAATCAAAACAAGTATTTCCAATAAATACTTAAAAAGGGATGTGCTATACTTAATTTAAATACACACCAAATTTCAAAGACAGAAAAGAGAATTCGAAGTATGCCATAATTTCTGATGTAAACATTAAAAAAAAATTCTGATAAATATTGAAGTTAATTCTTTTAAAACTCTGAATAGCTGCTGGAAAATCTAAAAGTACAATGTGATTCACATTATCCTTTTGATAGACAATGGTATCCTGAAATAAAGTCCTCAAATTTTAAGTTCATAACTTTTCCTGCTAAATAAAATTTTCTCTTTGTGGTCTTATTAGCAAATGAAATTCTAATTCAATTTTATTACTAGCTTGTTTCTGTATTTTTTCTCCATTTACTGCTGAGATTATAAACTCAATACCTGGTTTGGAAAGAGCCAGGTTTATTATATTCCCATGTGATAAGACTACAATGAACACAGCAGTAATACTTTGCAGGGTGTAAATGCTAAGAACAAACAGCAGAGGGCAGTATAGGCCCCAGAAACCACAATAGCTTGCAGCTCTTCAGAATTGAGTGTTTTATTTTTGGGTAATTTTGGTCTGGAAAAAATTCCAAACACAAACAGTAAAAGTTTAAAAATACATGGGGGCTGGCGAGATAGCTCAATGGACTAAGTGCTTGCCTGGCAAGTGCTAGGTCCTGAGTTTGATCCCTGGTACCACCACCAAGGGGGGGAAAAAAAAAAGGTAAAAATAAATAGAAGTTAAACCTTGGTGTATACAATCAAGTTGGATCTAAAAAATGTACTTTTCTGCAAAAAATAGTAAACCAAAACTTACCTTCAGGACAACAGGTTTCTCAAAATTATAAACAGAATGGGCTTTCCTTTGAACAAATTTCTGGAACTCTAGAGAGAAAAGTAATGACATTAAGACCCTCAGATAAGCAAAAGAGGAGAGCCACACAAAAAAAAACCCACCAAAGTCTTACCATTATAGACCATCTGAAAATTAAAGGGCTCTTCTTCATAGATGTCATTTAAATGTTTCATAGCTATTATAAGACAAATTTCCAAGACTGACAGTCCTACAGTAAAAGACAACAAATTAGGAATTGTTCTTTAGTGATTGTAAGATTGACTACTGTGAGATATTTGTAAAAAATAACTGTCCCCCATGTAGTAATAACAGAAAAGATTATGGCTTAAGGATAGAAGAAGTCAAGATTCCTACAGATTCAAGTACGTTGCAAACTCTATTATCTACAAAAAAGTGGAGGCATTACAATGTGCTGAGGCCGAGGTGCCCTTAGGAATGAATGCGATAAAGAATCCTCCAGTTTCTCTGTACAAGGTGCTGAAAAGGCATGAACTTCAAGGGTGCTGTTTCTTAGCAGCCTGCACGAGTTGCCACTCTAGGCATAGTGGGTCTCTGTGAATTAAATATCCACAAAATAAAGACCTTTCTAAACTTTCAGATATGCTATAAGAATTATCAAAGGTTCACGGCATGGCCTACAGTAAACAATAACAGAAACTATGATTACGTTATTTCAAATCATAAAGGTCCTTTGTTCAAAGAATCAGAAAACTTCAGGAAATTATATCCAAAATTCTGAGTGCAATATTCTCCTCAGAGAGAAAAAACGCTCATTAGATTATCAAAAGGGATAATGACTAATACAACAGATTCTCACCATGTACAACATTTGCTTTAGAATCCATGCTACAAAGCTGGGCTGCCTCCATCAGATCTGCTGCAGTCATAAGTGGGTGTGATGCTGTTACTCGATTTAAAGCAAGCATCTATGGAAATGTAGACCAGAGAAAATTTTGTTGATGTGGGCCTTTTGAAAATAATTACCGAGCAAAGTTGCTTAATTTGTAGTCTATTATCATGGAAGAAAAATGCTTAACAAACAGTCTAAAATTAAACTTTTAAATACTGTATTTCAATTTGTATATCAGAGTTTCATAAATAAAAATAAAAAAGGTTTTATTTACTGATACAGAGTCTTGCTATGCAGCTCGGACTCAGTAATTCTCCTATATCAGCCTCCCCAGTGCTGTGATTACTAGTGTGGCCACCACACCCAGTTTCTGGGCCAACATGATGGTATCTGGGATCGCACTCTAGACCTTGCACTTGCCAGAGAGGCACTCAAACCACCGAGCTATCTCCTTAGCCCAAAAAGTTTTTGTTGCTTTCTATACCACTTCCCGTCTGCATCACATACATTTATTCTTTAAAAAAAAAATATTTCAAGAGGAAGACAAAGAAAAAAACTGACAATCAGAATACACAAAATCTAAAGGTCAACCTATGCCTTGTATTACCTTCTATTTTTATTATTATCATTATTATCATTTACCAGGAATCTGACTCACAACCTCACGTCTGCCAGGCTGGCGCTGTACTGCTGAGCTATATTCCTGGCCCACTTTGTCTTGTATTTACTTTTAAGTCTTTATACTGGTCAAGCAGCAAAAGTTAGGGCAAAGTAGAAGTTAGTTATTTTATGTTTGTACAAAAAAAGAAAAGCAAACCAAGGATCAAATCTATATCCATAGAAACAACTCCTTGAAAACCAACATGATTTCTCATGTACTTTTCATATAGTTTTGCCATAACTAACAAAATTCCTGGAGTAAGGTCTCCACTCAAATATCAGTTTTTTTCCCTTTGTTGACTGTATGTTTCATTAGTTACTTAAGATTTAGCAATTAAAAATGCATGATACCAGGTTAAAAATTTGTATTTCGAATGAACAATGACTCATTACTTAGTATAGGTAAGTACCAAGCAGTATTTCAGAAAAGTTAAGCTAGAGACTCTTGCCCCCATCTTATCAGGGTAAAACTGCTTTAGCTAAGTAGAGGAGATTAGCATAGCAATCCTTGCACTTCATTCTTCTACTTGGTGGGATCTAGACCACCAGTAGCTCTTTTCCTTTCTGTTTCCTTTCACCGTGAAGTAGTTCTTCATATATAAAAAGGCAAAAGAGAATCATACTTTCTATTGCCACTTTACTACTTTAAACATAATTTTATAGTTTAACCTGGTACCTCTGCTGCTTGGACTCTACCTCATACCACATGAAACAACCACATACATCGTTATTACTTGTTCCACTTCTATCAAGTATTCCTAAAGCACTACAAAGTAACATTTAAGTTTTATATAAATACTTATATATTTTTTTTTTTGGTAGAACCGGGGATTGAACTTAGGCCCTTGCACTTGCCAGGGAAACACTTATTCTACTGAGCCATCTCCCCAGCCTCTATATACTTAAATGAAACTTAAAAGTTTTATTTATGAGCTATAAAAATAAAACTACATTACACTTTTACAACTCATTTTCCACTGAATATCTCAGAAGTTATTCATGGTAAGGTGTCAAATTTAGGCCTCAAAATCCTGATATTGTTGCTAAGAATGGCAGTATTTTTTGTATGAGGAGGGGGCCAAAGTAACAAGGAGTTTAAAAGGGAGCACTGGTTGGGAGGCTGTAAACAGAGATCACTAAGAGCCTGATCTAGCAGTGAGATCCTGAACACCCTATAGACCTGCACCCCCCCGCGCAAGAAAGGGAACACTGAGATATAAACATGGAAGAACTAGGTAACCTTTGCTTGTGCTTAGGCCCTGCCATCAACTAGGGATGAGCAAGGTTTTAACCTCCAGGAGGCTCAACTTCTTTAAAAAACTTCTTGTTTTATCACACTCAAGGATAAAAAGCAGGGTTACTGCAATGTTTAGACATAATGCAGGATAGTAACAGTATTATCTGGTAGATGAGCGAGTCAATAATTGGTGATTACTGTAATTATTGTTGAAACTGTAAAACTCATGGAACAAACTATTTTCTCTTTGAAAAGTATCTGTTATACATAATTGTCTAGAAATGTTGGACTAATGCCAAATAACTCTTCTGAAGGGAGTTCTTCAATTTTCGGAACCAGTAAGTAAATCCATTATCAAAAGGAATTTATTCTATGTAGGTAAGGCTGCTTAAGCCAAACAAAACGAAACCAAACCAAACCACACAAAAATTAAAAACCCCAACGTAACCCAAAATATTAATATTTCAAAAAAAATTATATGATCAACATAATCTAAGACTGACTCCTAATATTCTCAGCAAAATCTGAACTTAGTAATAAGCATGATAAAAAAGAACCTTATAATAACTTACGCAAAGTAAAAACTGAATGCCTTCCTATTAAGACTGAGAAAAAAGGAAGTGGAAGCATACATTGTTTTTAACATAAATGGTGGAAGTTTTAGTAACTAGTATAAAGGCAGGGAAAAAAAGACAGACGGATTGGAAAGAAAGAAAAACCCTGGAAGTCGGAAGAATCTATTAATAAAATGAGCAAGCTCACTAATATCACAAAATAGCACATCAACACAGAAATATCAATTAGTTGATATTTGATAATTCACTAACAACATGGTGGTACTAAGTTTCAGATACACAAGAGCAGTTAGATTTGGTTTGCTAGGAATGCTATTCCATTGAGGGGTGACTACCTGTAATACACCGTACATTTCAAAAAGCTGCAATATTTTTTAAAGTTGCCATAAAAAAGAAATCACTGAGATCAGATATGTTTAATCTGATTTAAATATTACCCAATATATACCTGTATCAGTACATCACAAGATACTCATTTCTATGTACAATTTTATGCATTGGTTAAAAAAAAAAAATCTAACCAAAAAATACAAACCAATAGCATGTGTAATGACCTCAGGTTTTTGCTGACATTAAAATGCTTCAGTAAAACTTCTCGTACACTTTTATCTTCTGAGAGACCCTAAAGAAAAAAAATGAAGGAATACAGTTTAAAACCTAAATATATTCATTTATCATTAAGTAGTCAGTATACTTTATTAACTCTACTCGATGTGTATGCACGTATGCATACATGTCTGTCTGTCTTTGGTACAAGGTCTCACTACACAGCTCAGACTCATAGTGATTCTTCTGTTTTCAGCCTCCCCAGCACTGGGATTACAGATGTACGCCACATGACTGGTCTCAGTGGCCTGCTCAGTGCACCTGTGGACAGGGCCAGTGTGGCATGTGGTGCCAGGGACTGAATCCTGGTCCCTGTGCTTACCTAAGTCTGCTGAGCTATCTCACTGGCCCCCTGATATTTATTCATTACTAAATGGATATCAGTTGATCTAAAGAACAATAAAATCAAAGTCAAATTTTCAGTCTACTAATTTTCTTCTCCATTTAACTTGAGGAACACGAGAATGAAACGATTCTTGCAATTTCAAAATTTCTAATCTTAATTCAGATTAAGGGGAAACTATACAGTCACGTTAGTAGGATGAACAAAATGCAACATAACATGTAACAGTGAAAAAACACTAGTGTACTTGAAAAATAAGTACTCTAAGGAGGTGTCCACCAACAGGGATAAAGGAAGAACCTTAAGTTATGAGTGAGAAAGATAATACCATGACATACTGACACAAAGTAAGTAGTCCTCCGCACCTAAGTTTCAATTATTTACAAATAAAAGAAAACTTCATTGGAGGCAATTTCATCTATTAGTACCAAAGATGAAGACATGAATTACCAAGTGCTATTAAGAAAAAAGAGAAGGTCAGAGAAGATAATCTGATGGAGAACCAACTGATAAAAGAGAAAGATTAATTTGAAAACAGAAGACAAAAATCAAAGATGAACTATGGAGAAGGGACCTCTTTGTGAAGAGTGAAATGTGATCAAGGAGTAAGCTTTGAAACACCAATATCTATCAATATTTAGGTAGATCAAAAGAAAACAACAACAACAAAGTGAAAAGTAAGGTAAATAATACAAACTGGAAAATAATTCAAGACAGTAATGATCTAGAAAACAAAGGAAGAAAACTTTAAGAGAAATTGGTGATCTAGAGTTTAAACTACTGTGTAAAACTAAACTGAGATCTAGTTTGAGAAAACGCTAACAGTTTTAGAAATCTGGAGACCAGGATTCTTTGAGAAAGCAGTACATAAATGACCCAAGTGATGACTCTGAATAAGTATTTCACAGAAGGTAAGGAACACTTGGCACTGAAGAAAAAATAAGATGAAAAAAGAGATTAAATTCAGAGACAGCAGAACTATAAAGGAGTAAGCAAAATTGGAATAGTTTTTTAAATACCATCTGCATGAAATATTCTTTTTTCTTTACTAAGCATTTTTATGCTTGTGAGAGCTATAACTACATGAAAAAAGGACTCCCTTTTCAGGAATACATTCTAGTCTACTGGAATGAAGTCACATATGTTCAATAAATACATCATGCCAGTTGAAGTTTCCACTCTTAGTACTTTAAAAGATTTGTTATTTTTTGAAAATCATCAAAAAGGCCAAATATCCACTGGAAGTAAACATGATCATAGGATACTATTCTTTACTAATAAAGCAAAATAATATAAGTTTTAAGCTTTTCCAGAGTTTTCAGGTTTCATTTAGAAGAAATTTAAGAAGTTTTGTGGGTGATTATAATAAGCAAACTATAGTGTTGATGAGTATAATCTATAACTTTAAGGAAGTCATTCATAAAATCGATGCAAAATTGGAGCAGTTAGGAAAACTAAAATCATCTGGGACAAAAATAATTGATGAAAAACTTTTCCACAAAAATTCAAATATTTAAAAAAAAATTCAATTATTTTTAAAACCATATTTGGCTTCCTTGATCTACACTCTGCTTTCCAAATGTACCTCTATGTTTTTGGTGGTCTGAATCAAATTGCTTTTGAAAGCTATCACTTTCTTGCGTGCACAGTTTATTTTTAAATAAAATCTGCATCACCTATCTACCGCAAAAGACATTTTTAACTTTAATTCAATCTTGATCCAAACATTCATAATCATCTGAAGATCAGGTCATTAATATTTACTTGAGTTGACTGCAATGCTTGGAGGCATTTCTTTTGAAAAGTAGATGTAATCCTTGAAAATGCTCCTTTTAGGAACTTCCTTTACTCTACCCTGCTGAGATGGAGTCTGCCCTGTTTACTGGATTCATTTGATGCAGGGCCAAAACAAATTAAGTAGGAAGTGAAGGCTCAACCCTATACTGGAGATATTCCTTGGAAGAGATTCCACTAATGACCCTTTATTTCTATCAATGTTTTCAGCTTAATTTTAAAATTTCAAGAAACTACTACGTAGTCAGCACTGATAGAAAGGACAGCTCCTTTATATCAGCCTCCCAGACATCCCCACACTGGTCACAGACTCTGGCCACGGTGCTGACAGATTTTTCTAGGGAAACTTCTTAGCCTATCAGAGAAGGTACACAACATTGACATGAAAAACAATACCATAATCATCTTCTTTGATACTGTTAATTCTACTTCATGAATCTATAAAAGATACTCAGACCTATCACATTACAGAATATAAAATCTGTAAAAAAGAACTAGAAAACATGATTAAATGAACATGAGGTATACTATTTTATGTCATCCAAGTACTGTATCACCAGTAATTGGCATCATCTTCTTCATACTCAGTCATCTCTTGGTAGCTGAAGGAGACTGGGTCAAGACACCCAACAGTCAAAATATGAGGATGATCATGCCCCTCAAGCAAAATGGCATAGTATTTCCACATAACCTAGACACATTCCTTACATGTTCTCTAGGTTACCTACAGTAGTTAACGTAATATAAACATTATGAGTTATGCTGCACTGTTTAGGAATTGTAAACTATAGAAGTCTGTACATGGTCTGATGTAAATTTTCAAAACATTTTTTAACCTATAAGGTAAAAAACCTATAAAGGATGCAAAACCTATAAAGAGGTTCAACTATATTCAATTTGAGACACTCAGAATGTAACATAGCTATGAGAGAGAAAAAGATGGATAGTGGCACAGAGTAGCCTCGGTTATGTAGTTAATTAACTTAAACGCTTAGGGATAGAAATAGTAAAAGACTATGAAAGACTATATATATTTGGGGCAATAAGAGCAATAAAAAGACATACCAATACCTGACTTAAGCTATAATACAAATAAGTGATAAAAATGGCATGGTACTGGACCAAACACAGATATATAGATCAATGGACTAGAATTCAATATACAGAAACCTCTCCATATATATTCAACTACAGAATGGGACAAAAATGTATGCTGGGGGGAAGACAGTTATTCAACAAGTAGTGTTCATATGTTTGCAAAAAATTGAACACTTCTTTTTCACCATATGCTAAATTAAATCAAAACAAAGACCTACATTACAGCAGAAACATTAAATCTACTAGAAGACAAAATAGGTAAAACCTCTGAAGATACAGGTGCAGGAAAAGATTTTCTAAACAGAACCTCAATCACACAGGAAATGGCAACAAGAATTGATAACTGGAGTTAATCGGACCAAAAAGTTTCTGTATAGCAAAAGAATCAGAAGAGTGAAGAGAACCTACAGAATGGAAAAATTCTACCAGCAACTCCTCAGACAGTGAGCTAATATCTAGAATATAGGAAAAAAAAGAACAAAAAAATTTAACCACTAAAATTAAAGACCTAGTCAAGAAATGGGCAAGAGAAATGGACCCTCCACAGAATACAAAAGGTCACAAATACACCAAAAAATGTTCAGGATCTCTCACCATTAGACATATGAAGATTAACATGACCTAAGGTTTCATCTTACTCCAGAATCATTTGGAAATCAAACAATAACAAATACTGGTGTGACTGTGGTAAAAAAGAACTCTCCTTCATTATTGGTGGTAATGCAAACTAATACAGATATTCTGGAAATCAGTATGGAGATGCCTTGAAGAATGGAAATTAGAAATTCCATACAGCCCAGCTATAACCTTGCTAGGTGTGTTCCTCAAAGAGCTGTGTAAATAATATTAAAGAGACTCAATTTGTAACAGCTAAATCCTTGAGGCAGCCTGTATATTCATCAACAGATGACTGGATAAACAAAATGCACTAACAAAATGTATCTACAGATATAAAACAATAATAGTTGGCTATAAAAAGTCAAATATGAGACATTTGTGGGGAAAAAAAATCAATGCACCCAGAAAATGCAACATTCACTGAAATAAAGCATTCACACAGGCTTAAATATCATATGGAATCTCTTATTTAAGTGAGGCAAAGTACAAAGAAAATGATGGCTACACAGAAAGGGGAAAGGGATAGATATTTTGCAATAGGAAAGTGGTCGAAGAGTATTTAAGTTACCTGAACAGTTTGGTTCCACTTTTCAGCAAAAAGTTTATCTGGAAATTCTGGAGGCAGAGATAATTGTTCTTTAAATATTTTAACATACTGTGGAAAACCAAATGAATTCATTAAGTGTATCTGTCGGTGAGAAAATCGAGACTTCACTCTTTTTTCTAGGAGTTCCAAAATATCCTTAAAAACAAACAAAATCTTTGTAAGACGCATGTTTTAAAAACAATGGACTAGTATTAAAAGTATAATAAACTAAATGCACGATTAGCAATATTTACTTTATGGTACACAACAAAGCATTTAAAAAATTTAATGGAAACTAATCCTGGGCTGGCGAGATAGTTCAGTGGTCTAAAGCACCTGCTTAGGCAAGCTTAGACAAACATTCAGAGACCTTCGTTCGATCCTCAGCACCACATGCCATGCCAGGCCCGCCCCATGGTGGGCTAAGCTGACCACAAAAAAAAAAAGGAAACTAATCCTGCTCTAGGCACTTGTAGATTTGGTAGTGCTGTATCTTTTCCCTTCTACTATCCTCAGCTAATATGTATCATTCCAAGAAGTACAATCATTGCTAATAAAAACATGGACAGATTTATTTTATTTTTAAAGAGAATAAAAAAAAACAGTAAAAAAAATCAGAAACAACAAAATTTCACTCAACAAAATGACAGGAATTCAACAAGAGTTGTTATACTCCATATTGTTGTCTCCAAATTAGAGCACAGAAAAAAGCAGTATTTTTATACAATGGAGTATCACTCAGCCATTAAAAAAAAAGGATAAACTTTGTTTGAATATCAAGATGCAAGAAATTTGAAATGCAAGTAAAGAAACAAAAACCACCTCAAGAAAAAAGACAAAGTATTCAGGATGAAGAACCACACCAGGCCTGTCAAATAGCTCAGCAGGTTAAAGCGTATGCTTAGGCAGAAGCAAAGGCCTGGAGCTTGATCCCCAGGCCTGGAGATAGCAATTGAGATTGGGTGTGGTGGCATGTGCCTGAAATCCCAGCACTTGGGAGGCTGTAAACAGGAGGATCACTATGAGTCCGATCTATGCAGTGAGACCCTATAGACACTGTCCTAAAATAAAAATTAAAAAAAAAAACAAAAAACCCCACAAAGGATGAAGAACCACACAAACCTCCTATGCTTGAATGTCAAGATGCAGCATCATAGGGTTAGGTTTAGGATTAGGGTAAAAAAAGAAAAAAAAGATACAGCATCAAAATTCTGAATACAAGTAAAGAAAGACAAATCTTCCAAAGAAGAGACACAATATTCAAGGTGAAGAGCCACACAAAACTTCTGTTTGAACATCAAGATGCAGCATCAAAATGTGGAATGCAAGGCAAGAAACACATCAAAAGAAAAAGGACATAATGTTCAGGGTGAAGAACAAGACAAAACTTACATGTTTGAATATCAAGATGCAGTATCAAAACTTGGAATACAAATAAAGGAAAATCTTCCAAACAAAGAAGACCTAGTATATCAGATGAAAATCTTACATTTGTGCAACAAGATTTAGTGTCAAAATCCCAAATGCAGGTAGAAAAAGAAACAACTCCTGGAAAGGATAGACCTAATGCCCAAAAAAGGGTGGATCCCTGAAAATCTACTGCCTGAGGAGAAAGTTTTATTATCTGTAAGCCAGACTCAAATTGCGAAACTGGAAGCTATCTATCAGCAATGAAACTCTCTCAAGACACAAGATATAAATGAAGATCCAGAATCACCTGTAGAATGAATATGTGGGTCAAATTTAAACTGAAGATGCCAAGTTTAAGGCCTGAGAATGAACGGCCTCTGAACCAGCAGTTACATCAGGAAATTTTCCAGCACTGCATCCAACAATTGGTGACAAAATATCTCACTTAGACTTGGACAAAGTGGTTGAAACTGACCTAGAACATTTCAGAGATGATTTTGGACAATACTTAGAATTTAGGGCACTTTCTCTCTCTTCCTGGAACTGATACAGATCAATTCACGGATGAAAGAGATAAATTAAGGAGTTCAAGACACAACTAAAGGGGTTGGGGAGATAGCTCAGCAGAATAAGTGCTTGTCTGGCAAGCCCAAGGGCCTGAGTTCAATCCCTGGTTCTGAAAATGAAAAAGACACAACTGAAGAATTGCCCTGCACTATGTGCATGATGCCAAGGTCAGCTGCCAGCTTGAACAGTAGTTAGAGCCCCTTAGACCACAGCTGGAGTATCATCTAACTACCTAGATGGCTGAACTCTAAAATATACAATCCTCAGTGGCCCTGAATAAGCAGGTGTCCGAGCAATTTTTTTCTTTCAAATAAGATATCTATCTATCTATCTGTATTTTTTTTTTTTTTTTGAGGAACCGAGGATTGAACTCAGGCCCTTGAGCTTACCAGAGAAGCACTTATTCCACTGAGCCATCTCCCTGGTCCCAAGATTTAGTTTTGCATAAAAAGGATAAACTCTAGCCTTTTACAGGTAAATGGATGCAACTAGAGACCATACTCATAAGTAAAAGAAATCAGACCCACATATGGAAAGTTAATACTGTCCCCTCATGTGAGAACCTGAAAGAGTAAATAAAATCTGAAAGGGACAACAGATACTATGAAAGGGAAAGAAACTTAAAAGGGAAAGAACAACTGGAATAAGGGAAAGGAGTAAAGGAAAGAGGAAAAAGAAATGTGTGTGTGTATATATATATATATATATACAGGATACCTTGGATAATTGTACTGCTGCTGATTTCTGTTCATCTATTGAAAAACTGTATTACTGAATAGTTATATGTCACAACAAGCTCAAACATTTCAGTAAGAAGTTCTATGAAAAATTTAGGTAAGAAAACAGAAAAAATGCAACGTAATGACTCAGAATATAACAAAGAAAGCAAAATGTGTATCAGAGAAGTAGTTTCATTTGCTAAACTACTTTCAAAATTAATCTGTTTTAATGAATAAAAGGAACCAGTGCAGAAGATGAAATGGGAAATGACAATGTTAACTTACTCATGTTATGGTGTTTGAATAATGATAAATTTAGAAACTGCACCTTTGTGTTATTTTTCCTTAAGAAATCAGGAATCAAATTTACAGTCTGCTTGCAGGTGCTTTAATCCGCTGAGCTATTTGGCCAGCCCTCCTATATCTCCTTTTAAACTGAACTTGAGTGACCTTTTAAAATATGTTGTGGTCCTTGGTCTTAACCATCCAGTAGAAAAGTATGAAGACGAAATATAGGAAGTAAAGCCATGTTGTTATGTTGAGCTGTGGGGGACTCAGGTCAATAATTTCTGACATTGCCAGTTAAACAGAAGACCCAATGCTATTATGGGCTACTGGACTCTTAGAATATTTTGCTGAGTTTACACACCTATGATACTCATAACGGAACTTAAAAAAAATGGGGTATAACTATGAATGTCCATTTTGCATCTTTGTATTCAAAGTGGTTGGGATAGATATATAGTTGCATTCTCTTAATGAATAGAACGATTTTTTCTAATGGTGTTTTAAATAGGATCACAAGTCCGCATCTTGTACAGCAATTAACCACTAAGAAGAATATATGCAGTGTATTATTTGTTGAAACTGTACTTTCGATTTGATTTGAAACTGTCTCATTGCTATATGTTTATCAATAAAACTTTGAAAAGAAAAAAAAATATGTTGTGGTATACACATAGCATTAACATGTCCCCCAATAATTTCACTAGTAGATATAATAACCAATAATAAATATGGTATGTATACACACAATGAAGTATTATTCACAAAGGAATGAAGCCCTATTATTTGCAGTAAAATGGAGAAAATCAGAGGCCATTAAAAAAGGTAAAAGAAGCCAGATATGAAGACAAGCAACATATATTGTACTGTATGTGGAAAGTAAAAACCTTGGTGTGAAAGTAAAACACTGGTTACTAGAGATTGGGCAGGTCCTGCACTAGGGAAGACTGCTGAGAAAGGGTTGCTACATTTGAGCAGTGCACGCTGCATGTGTATAGAAAAATAACATGGAAAAACAAGGAAAAAAAATTACACCAAACCCCGCTAATACTAACAGAAACACAGAAAATAAATTTTAAGAACTAAAGAGAAATGAAAACACTTCCCCAAAAAGTAGACCTGAACATAAAAATGTTAAGTAATCCAAGTATTTATCAATTGAGAAATGCATGAACGAGCTGTGCAATGCAGTGGAACTGTTATTTACTTAATAAAAAGGAATTTACCATTATATATTATAATACAGATAAAACATCAAAAACACTAAGTGAAATAAGCTAGCCATAATAGATTTTATGTTATATGACTGAATTCATACGAGATATCCACAATAAGTAAATTATAATATAAAAAGACTTGCAGCCTAATGGTTGGGTAAAAATGGAGGCTTGGGAGTTGGGTGGTTGATACATTGTGCTTGAGAATTTTACTTAAGTGATACAGACAGCCAGGGTTCTTACTTTGTAAATATCCTCATCCTGTGCAAGAGGAGGGCATAGACACTGTGCAGTTGTACACTCCATCCCTAGGGCAGTGAGGCCCCTCCTAGGGTATGGGGGGCTCGCCCTAGAGTAACTACTCAGCACTTAAAGGATATATAAAGAAATTGAGGAAAGATGATTAGTGCCCCTTTATTTGGAGGAGCTGCAGTAAGCACAAGAGAGGCTTGTTAGAAGCTGCAGCAGAGTCTCATCCCTTTGCTCTTTGCTGCTTTCTGCTACCATGAAATGTTGTCCTCTGCCATGTGCCAGTCTGCCTTGGAGCCAGTGGAGTATGAACTGAAACCTCCAGTAACTGTGAGCTAAATAAACCTTTTTTTTTTTTCCTTAATTTGGGTGTTGGATATTTTTGTCACAGCAATGAGTGAAAAGTAACCGAGACATGGGATAATGGCTAACAGGCCCCTTAAATTTACTGTGAATATTAAAAATAGCAAAAGCAAAGAACTGTATGTCTTCAATGAGTACACTGTATAATGTACAGATTATATCTCAATGATAATGCCATTTTTAGACAGCCCATCCCAAATATGAACACTGATATAAAATTTAATGATTTTAGAAATTACTGCTAATACTTAAGGTAATACAACTATAACAAGGGGAAGTATTTTTAAAATAAGTTCCTTTCTTCTGAAACTAACTTTGAAACACTGATGAGGCATTTGATGTTACTTTTGTCTCAAAATAATATAGGAACAGAAAAGAGATGTAAGAGGATAAATTAAACTAACACCTGTTGAAGCTAGTTGATAAGTGAACAAAGAAACTTGAGACTCATAATTTTTTTAATTATTGAGATTCTATATCAAAATTTTCTTTTACAAAGAGGGTGTAGGAAGGTCCAAAAATTCCTATTTTAAATCTCGTCAGGTGATCTGATCTTCATAGTACTGCTATTAAAAAACCCTGACATATAAAAAATAATTTGAGTACAGACAGCTGAGAACAAATAGTATCAGGTAGTGGAACGAAGGAAAAAAAAAAAAACCTTGAAATGTTTTATATTGTGCAGTTGCTAGTACAACAGTTAAAAGAGGCTATATGTCTAGATACCATGCCATCTATTTTTCTATTAAAGAGGCATTCTAATATTAGATGATGTAAAAACAGTGACACCAACACTCTATGCAACAAGAGCTTGGATTTAGTGAAAGAAAGTAAAAGATGCTTTAGTTGTGGACAGTCATGACAGAAGTTAGAAAGTGGGACAGAGGAATAGTAAAAAAAAAAAGAAATTATTTCCCAAGAAGAGGTGGTAAAGGACTTATTCCACCTATCCTTTTGTTCTTTCCCTACAAACATACATAGTACAATTGTATTTGAAAGAACTACATAATGGAAGCATTATACATAAAGAATAAAAATGCCTGTGGTCATACTGCTACTAACTTCTCAGTTGGTCCTTCACTGGCTAGCAAACATCTGTCAGTTGCCAGCTCCATTCAAAGCAATCTGTTGGTTTATTTTTAAGAAAAAAGGTACGTGAAGTAACAGTCAAATGTTCTAAGAAAGCACGGTATTCTAAGTACTAGAGCACACAGGAGAAAGAGGCAACAACAGTTGAAGGACTGCTGAAAACTGACTTAGTAAAAAGTTACACTTTTAAAAATGAGAAAAAGCTATAGGAAAGGAAAATGAGTAAATGCCCTCCCCCACCTATTAGGAATACAGAGGGAAAATGATATGACACTTACACTATAAGAGAGATGACTCTTAAAATATCAGACTTATCTGATTTCAGTAAGAAAGTTTATATTCTAAGTGTGATAAGATAAACTCTAAAGGTCTGAAAGCTTCAACTGGTTATACAGTCTTCATCAAGTTAGTTCACAGTGACACTGGGATTGTGGCAGAAATCACCGTAACATCCTTCAAGGAACAAAGAAACCACTCTACTGTTACTGTTTGATAAAAAGAATCTCTTTTATCTCTGGAGATGTGCATGTAAAAAGTTGGGATAGTATCATTTTGAGTTGGTTTCAGGCACTTTTAAAATATACATACCCACACACAAAATCAAAGCACAACAACAGAAATTATCAATTTTTTTCTAAGTTTTCTAAACACTACAATAAATTTTTAAAAGCAGACTTACCAATCTACATGTAAGTCCAATAACTGCTATTGGAGTCTGTGCAGACTGAGCAATGTCAAAAAGATTATAGAGGAGTGTTTGGTTTTTATGATGAGCGAAAAGATCAAACTCATCTAATATGAAGATCACTGGGCAACTACTAGTGCGGTCACCTAAGAAATGGAAAAATTTTCATTAATAGTCAATTATACCAGCTTCTCCAAAATCGCTAAACTATTTACTACCTTTCAGCTTAAACTCAAGCATACATGGATCACCTACTTCATAAAATTACAAAAATTTACTGATTACAAAATAATAGGGAAAATGATTTTAGTCTTACAAAAAGTTACTTTATGTATCTATAGGCATAATACGTGTCAGGTGAATACAAATTAAAAACCATACAGTAATTGAGAAAATTAAAGTTGTATTTTTATTTTCTATACTGTATTTTACTTCACGGTAAAAGCATAATCGGGGGGGGGATCAAAGTACTTCTTTTATACTCTTAAACACATTTACCTTTTTTTAAAGCTTCCAGAAGAAATGAAAAGTTTTCAGCAAAACTTCCCTAAACAATAAAAAGGTAATATAACAAGCTGCTTAGTAAGGTAAACAAAACACAGTTACAAAAACTACTTTTTTATTCTAGAGTCACTGGCCAACATCTCAGTTGAATGTCTCTAGTAAAACTTAAATATAGAAGCAGAGATGGCACTAAAAATAGTGATACTACGTCATGTTTGCAATTTTACATTTTCCAGACAAAATCTGTAAAACTATCACATTTTTAGAGAGCTGACATATTCTAAATATAGTTGGGAGACCCCAAAAATGCATTCATTCTACTTTGTATCTTTAACTATATCATGCTCTACAACTGTTAATTTAATGTGTGCCACCAAAGATTACTATAACCTTAAATGGAGAATCAAAAGGAAAGGCAGGGGAAACTAGACATAACAGATAATGTCTACTTATTCCAGAACATAAAGAAGAATCTTTTCTAATCACATGAAATCTCACTATGTTTACTTGAAATATAACCAACATATTTCTGGATACAAATTACATACTCGAGATTTAAAAGTAGATGTATTTTATCTGGATGACCCATATTTTAAGTAGAGACTACTTTGAAATACTTTTTCATTACAATTATTTGTTTTATTCAGACTGTTTTCAAGGACTTGTCAACTTAAAAAAAAAAAAAAAACAGAAAAGTAAAAGCCCTGCTTGTCCCCCAACTGAAATATCTGACATAAAATAGCATAACTGGTTTAGAACTTCTACATATTTTGATAAAGGCATGCTATTACATTAGTAATACTTTTAAGGTAGTATAAGAGACACTATTCATAATTTACTATAAGAAAACAAAGGCTCAGGAAGACAATCTATTGCAAAGTCAGTGGTCAAATGAATTAAAGGTTAATTAAAGGTTGTCTCGGCTTTTAAGACCATATCTAGGGGCTGGTGAGATGGCTCAGTGGTCTAAAGCACCTACTTAGAACAAGTTAAGCTTGGCAAAGCACAGGGACCACGGTTCAATCCCCCAGCACCACATGCCGGCCAGCCCCGCCCCCTGGTGGGCTGAGCTGGCCACACACACACACACACACACACACACAATAAATAAATAAATAAATAAATAAATAAAATAAAAATTAAAAAAAAGACCATATCTAGCATTAAATAAAAAATACACAAGCATGTATACATATATAATATATATATATATTATATAAAATAAATCTAAGAATATATTCTTATAAAAATATGTATGGATTTACCTGTTATATATTACATGTATTTTCTGTAAGTATATAATATTACATATTTTACGTATCTAGTCCAGGTTCTACAAGGGTCTCACTACACAGATCAGACTCACAGTGATTCTTCTGTTTTTTAGGCTCCCAAGTGCTGGGATTACAGGCACATGTCACCATGCCCAGTCTCAATCATTCTCTCAGTGTGCCCCAGGGGCGTGGTCAGCACTGCACAATGGGGATCAAACCCTGGTCCCTGCGTCTGCCTAAGTAGGTGCTTTGATCCGCTGACCTATCTGGCCAGCCTGAATGACATTCTTAATGTAGTCTCTTCCACTTATGTAACAGATGTAATGATGATAACAGTGATAACTAGGATAGGATAGGCCAGTGAGATAGCTCAGCAGACTCAGTGCCTGGTTAGGTAAGAGCATAGGGACCTGGGTTCAATCCCCAGCTCCACAGGCTGCATCGGCCCTGCCCCTGGGCATGGTAAACCGGCCATAGAAACCTGGCAGTTGCACATACCTGTAATCCTAGTACTGGGAAGGCTGAAAACTGGAGGATCAGTAGGAGTATTAACTGTATAGTGAGACCCTGTACCAACTACACAAACACACATATACACACACACATACTAGGATAGGATAATAAACAACTGTGCTTTGTTTTACAACTGTACTTAGAATAGACCATTACAAAAGTGGCATTTTGAACTTGCCTTCCTAGTCCTGCAGAGCATGGAAGTTAAGCATATGATTGGCTAAATATTTTTTTAAAAAATAAAGGACACTGATAGGTTTGGATTCAAAGTTTCCCAATCACCTTGCCTCAAATACTCTCCCTCTAAGTTTCCCAGGCACCCTGCCCCTAAACTCCCTCCCCCTTGGCCCCATGCAAAGCCAAACCCAAAACCGCAGAACAGGTTCACCTCACTCTGACCTGGACAAGCAACCAGAAAACTCTCCTTTGTTAACATTAAAAGTCCCCCATAGACGAGGTAGTCCTGCCAAGATTAGCTCTCCTTGCCTCAGCTGTTCCAGCCCACAATCACCCTCCCTAAAAGATACTATCAAGTCTCCTGTACTTCCTTTATTCACTGCTGTCTTGGTCTGCTATTCAGCCAGCCTACTTGATGCCCCCAATACAAGTCTACTTGGGTCAGAATGCCTGGTCTGGTCTATTGCATGGGTTTGTACCTAACAGATACTTCCTAAATGCTTTGAGGCTTCTACAACTATGATTGGATCACTGCATCAGAGAGCACACATTTAAGACATTAGAGTGACAGAGCCTCAATTATCAGTGACCAGAAAAATAAACTTGAATGTATATATCCCCAGGCAACTGCATAAGTAGCTAATTTTTCAATGAAAATGAGGGCACAAATGAATCCCATTTTCTGAGGCTTTATACAGTAGTTGACAGTTCAAAAGCTTAATGGAAGTTTCAAAACACTTCAAATCTCACTAAATTACTGATATTCACTGCTCTAAGACTGTAAGCTGCATGATAGTGAATCATGGACAAATTTCTTAAAACAAAGAAAAGGTTACTGATGTCTGTACTGCACATTACTATCCAGGAAAATACTAGTTTTAATCTAAACAAATGACAATCTTGATTTTTTTCTTTAGAATGTCCAAAATATGCATACACAAATAACACTCAATACATTAAGAATCTGACTAACGGGGTTCAAATTACGAAGGCAAAGGCAATGATATTTATTAAAACTTCAAATTCAGCACATTTTTCTACTTTTCCATGCCACACAAGTGTCTCGGAACACTAGAAGCAGACTACCATTTAATACAGAAACGTTAATTTATTTTATAAAGGAATAAACTCCAAATACCTGTATAAACCTGGATTAGTTATTGTATAATTAGTATTAAGCTATTCCAAAATCCAAATAAAGATTTGATAGCTAAATGTATCTTAACGCATTACGTATTTTTATGACAAGACTCTTAGCTGTGAATATCTGATTCCTTCCTCTAAACTTCACCTTTCAGAAATGAAAATATCACTACAAAACAGACTCCACTTTGAAGTGTATTTAATAACTAAAGTGATACTTACAAAAACTTTATCTCCCACTACATTTTCCAGATGTAACTGCCTTGTGATTTCCTTCAGAGCAATTTTATCATTGATCTGCAGCAGTCCTGAAATATAGCCCAGTTGAAAGTATTTAATTAAAAGTGTACTTGACATGGTTATTTTCCAGTCAAGTATATTTCCCAATGCTTTTTAAATTTAATTAAAAAGAAAACAATCAAAATCAGATCACAAGGTTGGGGAGATGGCTCAGCAGAATAAGTGCTTGCTCGGCAAGCACAAGGGTCTGAGTTCAATCCCTGGTTCCACAAAAATAAATGAATAAATAAATGTTAAAATCAGATCACATTACTCCCTTTAAAAAAAAAAAAAAAACAACAGTAAGAACCATGGGTAGAGCTAAAAAACAGACTTCACTGGGGATAGCATAATTTAGAAAAAGTAATACTACTTTTTAATTTCTAAAAATATTGTGTATGGTTTGATAAATTGAAGCCTGTTAAAAGAGATCTAGTTTTAATAATGTCATTATTTGTACAGAATTAAAATATTTGAACAAGTTTACTTTTTCCATATAAAAACCATACATGGTTTATTTATATCACTTCTAATGGCAAAACTATGACATACTTACCATTTAGATAAACTTGTAATACATTTTCACTCACTTCTTCTATTTCCATGAGTTCTTTTAAAGCATGATTTATTAACTAAATAAATACAAAGTTTGTAAAATATTTAAATACAGGGAAAAGATGAAGTTTCTGTTGTAAAATCAGAATATAAAAATTGCTCAATAATTTTCAAGTAGTTTACAGATAAAAAGTTTAACTAGAACATATAACTATTACCATATCAGAGCTACAAATAACACAATTATCTACCCAAATACATGACCAACTATAGTTTCTTAAGAAATTCATGTTTTAGTACTTTTACTAACATATATTATACTAAGCATCATTAAAATCAGGTAAAGTTGCTAAAAATTATAAATAATAGTATTAGACAGTAGTCAAAAGTTTATCCCTCAATTGAGCAATTCCTATGTAAACCAAAATTACTTTGTACATTATTATTAAAAAGTAGGGACAGCAAGACAGCTCAGCAGACTAAGCACCTACTAAAGCAAGCACAGGGACCTGGGTTCAATCCCTGGCACCATAGGCCATGCAGGACCCCAGCATTACCCCAGGTGCCCTGAAGCCAGCCAGGGAGTCCAGGGGCATTGTGGCACACTTTTGTAATCCCAGCACTGGGGAGGGTAAAAACAGGAGGATCATTGAGTCTGAGCTGCACAGTGAAACCCTCTATCAGAATACACACACACACACACACACACACACAAAGAAGTTAAACTGAGATACCTTATTACACAAAGAAAGACCTTACTAAAGACAGAGAATACAATGAAAAGATTACTAATAATTTACAATTAATAATTACTGCTGAAATACATTTCTACTCGAAGTGTTATATAGCATATTGTTACTTGATATAAAGCTTCACATTTTTATTACCTATGCCACATCTCTTATTGCAATATATGCATTTATTATTAGCACAGCGTAAGTTTTGCTGAAATTTGAAAACAAGAAAAATTAAAAAACCTTTCGAAAGAATGTTCAATAACTATTCCTTTAAATGTCATAATAAAAGAGTACCCTCACACAATAAATGGTCTAGAAAGAGCCTGCATACACAAATGTGTTAGTGTAGATGTCATCAAAATTTAGTGAGGACAGAAAGGATTGTTTAACAAAGGCGATGAAACAACTGGTAAGCTATTTTTAAAAATAAAATATTTGTACTAGTAATATGCTATTACTTTGTTTAAAGGAAAGGAGAAAAACTCATCCTCATTTTAAATTGTTCGGTTTCACAACAGGACAACAGTCTTATCCTTATCAAAGAAGCAACCCCTGAAAGGGCTCCAGATGGTGAAGAACTCTGAATGGGTTGCAGAGAGTATGGTTGCTTCTGAAATCAGAAAGCCAGTGTAGGACTATATGTTGATAGGCTCAAATTCTGATCTTGGTGACTGTGAAAAAAATCAAAAAGGCTTATAGAAATTATGGAATTTTGGTGAACTTTGAGTAACATGTGCCCATAAAGGTCCAGATGAAACTCTGAGGATTAAAGCTGAGTGTGAAGGGGATGGCATCCCAACTACGTTCATGGCAGTGGCGGATAAAGCAATAGTTTAGGCCCAGTGATGTCTGGTAACACTGCATATCCAGGTATCAGTTGTCCTGCCTTCACACCAGACTGGGGAGAGCAGTATGCGGTCTTCCCATAGACTACCCAGTGGTCTCAGCTGTTTGACCATCCTTTCTCTAGAAGGATCAGCTCAGTCTGCTGCTCTGACATGTGGATTAAACAACCACTTGGTATGTGTCAAACTGCAAGCAAGCATATTGAATACATGGATTTCCTTGAAATAGGCTGACAAGAAAATCAGAGAATCAAATTTCTAAAGAATGTCATTTCATTGGGTCAGGAAGACCTATACATTCCTAGTTTAGCTGCGGAAAAAGAGGCAAAATGGAAAAAAGGTGATTTTTCGTCAGAGAAAACAAAACAAAATTGATAACGAACAAATACTTCTCTAATATACAAAAAAACTTGCCAGCCAAAACCCAGCATGACACATACTAGTACCAAAATATTTTGGTTTAAAAATCTAGTAAGATTGATATGACTAGGACTGATAAAATATGTAAGAATAAGGGATATTATGACTATCTGATAAAAAACATTCCATGCTTACGAACAGACTCAATATAGTTACCAGTTCTTCAGAGTAAACATAAAATCTTAGCAACACAGTACAGACCCCAAGCATTTTGTGGATATTGACGAACTGATTCTAAAGTTAACATGGAAAGGTAAATACTACAAGTGTTGCTCTAAATTTAAAATAACTAAGACAGTGCATTATAGACAATCATACAAACAGATCAAATCAGTCAAGGGGTAGAAAGAGATCTCAGAAATCATCACACACAGTCAAATGACAAACAAAAGCAATTCAAGAAAAGAAAGTTTTTCTCCACTGGACAAGAAAATGCAAAAAGGGAAAGTAGCCTCCCACAAAAATGAACTGAAAAATGAATCATACACCTAAATGTAAAATGCAATACTGAAAACATCAATAATACAGGAAATTTCAATCCCCAGTTCTTGAGGGAAAAAAAAAATTAAATTACATATAATAATAACTCAAAAGGATGTTAGTTACAAAGTCCTCCTGTAAAAACTAACTACACTGATATTTACATCAAATGTTAAATGCTAAGGAAACCACAGTAAAAACTCAAGCGTAAGAAATATTAATTTCAGAAACTGAGTGTGAGAACTGAAAAAAATTAGATCCAGATTAAGAATTATAAATATATTTTGAAAAGCTTTAATATTAAAAATATCTAACCTCCTAATTTACATATTTTCAACTGTAACAGAATGGGTGCTGTAAGTAAAACCCTAAGTCCCTCATTTTACGTAATGTAGAATCAATAAAAACATCAGACATAGAAGCTTATATATCACATAGCTTCTCTTATATGAAAAACCTAAACTATAAAACCAGCAGCAAAATAAAACATTTTTCTCAAAAACAGAAAAGGGATAAAGAAATGGAGGGCAGGAGAAGGGAGGAGAGGTAAAGAGAACGAAAAAATAAGATGTTACGGACATGTACCAAGTTCATACAAGGAATGTTAATATTATGTATTACAAATATGTACTAATAGAAAAAAATGTGCCCAGCAAGAAGGCAGGAGGATCACAAGTTTGAGGCCAGACTGAACAACTCAGGGAGACCTTGTCCCAGAATAAAAAAGTACAAATGGGTTAGGAATGTGGCTGAAGGGAAAAGTGCCCAGAGGTTTATTCAATTCCCACCACCCCTACACCTAAATTCCTTCAGTCTCTCTCTCCTTCCCCCCTCTCCTTCCTTCACGCACATACAATTTTACTTGTCATCCACACCGTAATGTGTATGTTTAGTCCAAAACAAACATTTACAGAAATAAGTTTTGTGTAGAAGATACTTAAAAAGACACAACCACTTCAAATTATAGTATCAAAAGTTAGCATCTATAATTATCTCCTATGTTAAATAAAAAACATGAAAGAAAAAAATGAAGGGAGAGGAAAGCAAGAGCATCTTTCTTTCTGCCTTTCTTTTTTGCAGTACTGGTGATTGAACTCAGGACCCTGCACTTGTCAGGCAAGTGCTTATTCTACTGAGCTATCTCCCCGGCCCCAGGATCATCTTTCTGAGGGAACAAAGCAAATATAATGAAGAGGAAAAGTAGAAGAAAACTACTGAAGACATGAAAAACTGCTTAAATGAAATAGTAAAAGAAAAAAAAACAGTAAAAAAAAAAAAAAAGGAAGGGGTGACACATGGTGTGCTAATTTACTAATTATTAGAAAAGGGAAAAAAACCTTCCTTTGCAGGTTTGAATAAGTAAAAAAATACACATGAGACCCTGGTAAGTGCTAAACAAATCTTAGTTTCTTTTTCCGCTGGCTATCTCTAGTATTTTTTGAGACAAAGAACTACGCAAAAAACATCACGAAAAACTTTCTTGGGGAGCAAAAGTAAGGTAAGAAAAAGATATGCTCAATTCAAATAAGCATACTAATTTTGTAACACTTCTGTATAATCTTTGTAATTAAAAGCCAAAACATAACAAATTAATGAAATTAAAAGCATTTCTGATGTTAAATAGTTTATACCATGGTCTTTCCTGATCCTCGGGGTCCAACAATGAGTACTGAATTACTTTCTCCATGTATAGCGGTTCTTTTTAGCAGTTCAAGTAAGTGTCTGAAATGATATGAATAGGCAAATTTTAAAATCAGAGCTGGAATACTTTGCTAGGCAGTATTTTTTAAAACCTAAATTTGTACACGCAACACAAATCCCTGTTGTTTTCTTCTGGGCTCTTGATCTAGACTCTAATAGTCTTATACACTGTAATTCTACAGAAAAGATAGTATGCCAGTGATAATTCTTGGGAAACCTGATGAAATCTAGTAACTTTAGAATATACTTCGTTTTATAATGGTAGGGGTCAAAAAGATAAGAGCAGCAATTCTTAAGACCCTTGTGTAAAAAAAATCTTTTAAAAATTTGTTACAGGGTCTCACTACGCAGCTTGAACTTATAGTGATCCTTCTGTGTCAGCCTCCCCAGTGCTGGGACTGCAGGTGTCTACCACTATGCTCAGTTTCAATGGCCGGCTTGGTATGTAACACCAGGAACTGAACCTGGGTCCTTGCACTTGCCAGGCAGGTACTTAAGACTCCTGCCAGCCTAGAGGTCCTTCTTAAATTAAGACTCTTGCCTTTGACTACAGAATTGGCCGCCAAATAGTAAGTACAAAAGAAAATTAACTCCTCAATGGAAACTAGGTGAAGGTTTTAGTTTTATTATCATGAAAGTATCTACCTGCTCATGCTTCATGAAATTCAGTGTTTCTCTATACAAAGCAAATAATGAAATGTTTATGAAAGTACACTTCATCTTTAAGATCAAATTTGCAGGGGCCGGGAGTTCTGATCCCTGGGCCTACCTGCCATGGTGGTCCCACCCCCAGGGCATGCTAAGACGGCAATTAAGACTTAGTGTGGTGGAGCATGCCTATAACCCCAGCTCTTGAGAAGCTGTACAGATGAATCACTAGGAGTTCGATCTAGTAGTGACACCCTGAACACCCTGTAGACCTTTCCCTAAAATACAAAAAAAAAAAAAAAAAAGGATCAAATTTGTGTGCTATAATATAGGGGTTGAAAGAGTACAGTCTCTTTCTTGGCTCCTCCCTTCACTCTGTACTTCCTCTTCCTGGCTACTACTGACTGAGCAGGTTTCCTCAACCTTATCCTTCCACCATGCTGCTTCTGCCTTGAGGCAAGCTGTCTTTACAATGAACCCACTGGCATCTGTGAACCAATGTGTATTGGGTATATTGTCCCAGCAATGGGAAAGTGGCTAAGCAATTGTTTGATTTATTTTTACAGAACCCAAAGTGTAGTAAGATCAAAATTGATAAGGGACTAACGAGACTTACCTGTACTGTACTTGCACTCCAAATAGGTTACTATGTGGAATCTGATGACAAAATCTTTCCCGTAAAATTCTTTGTATCTAATGAATGCAACATGAATAAATACAAGTAAAAATGCTACATGTACAATCAAAATGGAATAAGAAATGACATTTATAAGTCAGAATTAGGTTATAATTAATTCAATCCTCACTAAATACTTGAAGTTCTAGATCATTTTCACGAATTACAAAATGATTCTTTTACCTATCAAGTCCCAGGGAAATGACGACAAATCAGTTGTAAAAGTTCAAAAAAGGGGGAAGAATTACTTACATTAAGCACAGGAGCACCTGGGAACTATTTCAATGCATGTGAGTGAATGAACAAATGAATACTTCACTTCATACAATGTACTAGTCAAGCAATAATGGTCATATACCATATATCCACTCTCTAGAGAGCAAGACAAACTGGCTTAATCCATCACTATCAATCTGTACCTGTTGTAAGTCAGGATTCTGAAGAAAAATAAAGTAAAAGTTTTTAAGACCAATCAGATTCAAAGCATGGCAAAATTAAAAGGTTATGATCCATGTCTAAAAAGATAAATAATTTTGTAAAGGAATTACAAATTAAATAAACAAATAACAATAGAGCACTAGCTCACCATCCAAGTAAATACTCAATTATGGGAGAGAAACCACATTTACCTAGGGTAGAAAGTAAGGAATAGGGCAAGGGGTCTAATTTAGTGGTACAGTGTTTGCCTAGCGTAACTAGGCCCTGGGTTCCCCAAGTGGTAGGGACAGATGGACGGACGGATGGAATCATTGGAATGAATTAAGAAAACAAATTCTTATAGATAGCTATATTTTGAGTTTGTCTTAGAAATGAGAACTAAATCTGGGATGTAAAAACTTACATCAGATAAGTCTAATTACAGTTTTTTTTAAAAGCAGACCACTGAATTCACTCCATTTCTGGATTTGCTACTAATAGAGTGGTCTTTTAGAGATGAGCTTAGAAAGCTATCTCTTGTTTAGCACCAAAAGCTAAAATCAGAAGCTTGCAAGGTGAGGAGGCATAGTGGCATATAACTGTAATACTAGCTAAACTCAGAAAGGTAAAGGAGGAGGACCTTAGGTTGAAGTCCCTCTGGGCAACATAGCAAGACCCTATCACAAAATAAGATGCTAGATAGCTAGCTCAGTGATACAAGGCTTGCCTATCACACCTAACGGTCTGGGTTCAAACCACAGCATTAAGAGAGGAAAAAAAGCAAGCCTCCAAGATGACCTTTCTAAGATTCACAGCACAGGACTGAGAGTGAGCCAAAGAAATAAATCTAAGTTCTCTTTACATGTACCAGCAACTAAGGAAAGAAAATTATTCTCTAAAACAACCCATAATTTTAAAGAAAGTAGGAAGAATAATGGGACTGGCACACAAGAACTGTGTGAATTTGGAAAGGTGAAATCTCATAATACTAGTTTTCTTTATTGATAAAATGCAAGGAGTAATACCTTCATGCCAGGACAGTTTTGAGGATTAAAGCAGTTATCTGCAACACAATATAGGACTTATGAAGGTAATAGTTGATATATGTGCAAAATAATCAAATGGGCATATATGTAAATGATTCATAATATGTTACCTTACGGCCTATAACATATTCTTCTATGTAGATAAGATCACTACAAATCCAAATATAAGCCTTAATCCTTTCCTTTGAAAAAAAAAGGTCCATTATAATGTATGAGAGAGGTAACAAATCTCAGGAGATACAAAATCCCAAAGTGAGCTGGATGTAGGTTAAACAGATGTACAGATGTACAGATATTAACTTTCATGGAAGAACTAAGCACTTTACATAAAAAGTATGTAAATTATACCTCAGTTATAATTTTGTTTGACAATGAGTCATTTTACTTCAGAAAAACTTTAAGGTTTTATAAAGGGCTATAAAAACATGAGTTCTGATTTAAAACAAATGTGTAAGTCAAGCCAGCTAATTAAAAATTTAGCGTATAATTATTAAGGTTCACTCCTTACTAGATTATAACTTCTGAAGGAGAGATATACAGATAGTACTTGAAATATAGAATTACTTAATAGTAAATGCTAAATTACTTAATAGTAAATGCTAAATACTTTAAGAATAAATGTAACAAAAGAAATTCAATTTACTGAGTTAACACACCTATAATATTCAAATGACGGAACAAAAGAGGGGATACAGATGAATGTCCATTTTGTATCTGTGTATTCAAAATGGTTAGGATAGAAAAATAGTTACATTCTCTTAATGAATAGAGGGATTTGTTGTAATAGTGTTTGTAAATAGGATATCATGTCTGCATCTTGTACAGCAAATAACCACTAGGAAGAGAGTATGCAATGTCTTAATTATTGAAAATTTCATACCAATTTGATTTGCAACTGTCTCATTGCTATTTGTTTCTCAATAAAATTATGGAAAAAAAAAAGAAATTCAAAACATAAAAGATTGAAGTCAGGTCACTTTAAGGAAAACATGGATGATAGCTAGCATTCAACTATCCAAAGACAAAGGATGGAATTAAGAGACACATAAGACATTAAGACTAAAAAAAAAATATCACCTGACAAAGAGTTTGAGAACAGTTCACATTCTACATTTGATATGGAAAACTCTGTCTCTATATGATTGTTTCAATTATCTTATATAAATACCTTCCAAATACAGATTATCTATCTCCCTAAAAAGGGAAACAGTGTTCCTCAGTACTAAGAAATAGTCAAATTTAAAAAAAATAGTTGACTATTTCAACTATTTCTCTGATCACCTTTATATGGTAAAAGCTTTAAGATTAAAATAAATACATACTAACCTGCAAAAGGGACTCTCCATGCAGTAAGTTGTTCTTTGATTTACGATTGCTCATTTCAACAAATTGAAATCCTTAAAAAAAAAAAAAAAAAAATTAGGATAAACATAATAAAATTATTGATTTAAAAGATTAACTGAGAATTTACATTTATAAAATCAAAATAAATATAAGGATTTTATTCTGAAAATTTTTAATTTTTCAAACTTAAAACATTTCTACTTCCTTTTATTCAATGACAGGGTTACTGATGTTCATACTGTAGTTTATATAATTATTACAATCACTCCTCCTGTTCTCTTAAATCTAATCACCTTAATTTCCTTCCTTTGCCCTTATATAGAATGTTTTTCCTCCCCATTCAACCAACACAATCATCTGTTACAGAAAACTTCCTTTTTTGGTCACTCCAAAAACACACACTGGGGGCTGGGGAGATAGCTCAGTAGACTAAGCGCTCACCTGGCAAGCGCAAGCCCCTGACTTCAATCCCTAGTTCCACAAAACCAAACCAAACCACACACTGGGCCAGCCAAATAGTTCAGCTGATTAATAGGGGGGTTTGATCCCCAGGCCTGCCTGCCATGCCGGCCCCATCCCCAGGACGCTTTGAAGACAAAAATTGAGACTGGGCATGGTGGCACAGGCTTATAATTCCAGCTCTTGGGAGGCTGTAAACAGGAAGATCACTAGTCCAATCTAGTGGTGAGACCCTGAACAGCCTGTAGATACTTTCCTAAAATACAAAAGGAAAACCCCACACACTATTTACAGATTAGATTAAATGTATCTTCTATAAATACCTGTGAATATACATTCTTCTTTACTTACGACCAAATTATACAAAGGAAAATTATCCTTTTGTCACAGTCCCCTAACTCAGGACATTTTTATATGCCACAGCATTATGCCCAAAACAAAATTAGCAATGAAATGATTACAATGAAAAGAATGCTAATTAAAAAAAAAAAACTGGGGGGGGGGAGGTTAAATTCCTTTTCAGAGTACCTTTAGCTAAAATATCATTTTTTTAAACATAAATTCTTACAGAAATACTCAGTCAAATAATAGTAACTTAAGCAGTGTTTATTTAGGTACCAGAACTCATAAAAAACTGTTTGGTTAATTAACCCTCAAAACAGTCCTAGTAAGAGCTACTGTACTCCCTAAGATTAAAACACAGAGAAAAGTTAGGTAACCAAAATCAAACAGCAAGTAAGTGAAAAAGTTAAAAGTATTAACCCAACCAAGTTATGTACTTTAAAAAAAATTCTAGGAAAAAAAATCTTTTAAGGAATAAAAGTATATTTTGATATCTCCAAATGTCTACCCTCCTGAAGTCTTAATTATGGATCTCAAAATACCCTCTAATTCTGAATCAGCCCACTTCACTGTGGTCTGAGTTCATTCCTGCCCCACGTCCCAAGGCTACAAAAGACATATCTGAGTCCCAAGCCAGACAAAATGGTTCTGAATCTAAACTCAAGCCTCTTAGCTGACATCAGTCTCCATGAGCACAGACTAGCCAGGAGACATACCCCTCTGTGTACTTGGGGCAAGCTTGCCAATTTGCTCTGAATCTTGGTCTCAGTCCTTTCCAGTGTGGCTAGAGAACAGGACTGCCAACCAAGGATACTAGAGGGAGGCAGATACCTCAGCACTCCAATACCTAGGTTATACAAGCTAGGTCCTACAGCAGATGAAAAGTACTACAATTGTAGCCCTCCTCAGTGCAGCTGAAGGACAGGACTATGAAACTGCTGGGGCACAAGCATATCCATCACCACTGAGACAGTCATAAGACTTGAAGATCCTCATTAACTCTATTCCGGCTTCACTCAGCCATAGACTACGGCATTACTGCCTGACCAGGGACTCACCTTGTAATCTAGCAGGAGCCTTTCTAGGGTCCCCCAGAAATTCAGGTCTGCAAACCATAAATGGACGGCATTCTGCAACTCAGCCCTAGCCATGGTATGTTCTCTGGAGGTTATGGAAAAAAAGACATGCAAGAATAATTCCACCATCAGACCCAGAGCGCAGGCCCGGTAAGTGAGTGAGACGACCCAGGCCGCGGGATCCTGAATAGACCCAGAGCGCAGGCCCTGCCAGTGAGTGAGACGACCGAGGATGCGGGATCCTGAATAGACCCAGAGCACAGGCCCCGAGAGTGAGTGAAACGACCCGGCCCGCGGATCCTCATTTGACCCAGGCTGCAGGCCCAGCAGGGAACCCTTCAGCAGAACTCCCTGCAAAGAGGCTAGAGGCAAGACCCACCCAGCGGATTCAGGAGCAGAACATCTTCTCAGACAGACACAAAGGGTTCAACTGTAACATCTGCAGCAGAAAGAAGTGAAGCACACAGCCAGAACCAAACAACAACCACCTGGAGGAATCTGAACTTCGTAGATCCGGACCTGGTGCTAAGGTAATAACTCTATCTAAGCTCTCTCTACACCAAAGGTCAGAAGACAGTGGTACACAAAATGACAAAGAGAAGGAACAAAATGCAGTCTCAGGCCCTGAGTCCACCCAATACAAATGCACAAGACACTAGCACTGAGGAAAAACTGGAAATCACACACCAGATATCTCTGAAATAATAGCGTTGACAGTAAAGAATCAACTGCAGAAAGGCATAGAAGAAATCAGATCAGAAATAATTTGTGAACTAAAAAATGTAGTGGTAACTATAACCAAAGAAGTACTAAGTGTTTCTAAAGAATACACTGATAAAAAAAAAATAGAGGAGAATATAAAAATGATGGAACCCCTGAATAAACAATTTAGGAAAGAAATAGAATCTATGAAACAGGTTCAAAGTGATATACAGGAAATTAAAACCTCAATCACAAGCTGGCAAAACCGTTTGCGTGCAAGTGAAGATAGACTTTCCGACCTGAAAGACACCATTGCAGCTAGTGAAAAAGTAAGAAAAG